TTTGGACCTCAATTTGAGGTCCGATTTCAAAACAAATCATATATTTGGGTTCGAGGGGGAATGGGTAGCCGGGTTTTGGTTCGAACCTCGGGTTTTGACCACGTGGGCCCGGGGGCGATTTTGAAATTTTTGGGTAAAACTTCGGGAAATTCATTTTATGCATTCAAATTGATTCATTTAGCGTTTATTGATGTAATTAAGTAACTTGTGACTAGATTCGAGCGGATTGGTGGTGGAATCGAGGGGTAAAGCCATAATTGAGACTTGAGTTGAATTCAAAGCATTGAGGTAAGTGTTCGGTTTAACCTTAGCTTGAGGGATTAGGAGTTGAGTGATATTTGTTATGTGTTTCTTGTGGAGTACGACGTATAAGCATGGTGACGAGTATCTATACGTCGGTGTCGAGCATGACCGTGAGTCTTAAATTAATATTTTGTGTTCTTGAATAATACTATGGATGAAATAGTGAGTAGACTTGTGATATTGAGCAAAGGCTTAGCTTCTTTTTCGTGGAAGTTAATCATGAGCTAGAAATGGTGATAATAGAAATGTTAAAATTCGAATTGAGATTGGTTATAGCTGGTTCTCCCTTGTCGGGATGAGTATACTTGTACTGTTGAGTTCCCTTGCCGGGATAGAGTATTTTATGATTAATCCCCCTGTCGGGATTTGTGGTTATGATTACTATAAGCTATGTATATTTGGAACGGGTTACCTTTTATCTGGAAAACATTGTCTTCTGGCATACGATCTAAAGGCGATATAGTGATAAATGTTGCTTCAAGTGGTATTGCTTCTCTTTTGTTACCGGGGGGTCGAACTGCTCATTCAATATTTGCAATCCCTCTAAATCCAACTGAAGATTCAACATGCAATATAAAACAAGGTAGTCCTTTGGCAAAGTTGATTGTGAAGGCAAAATTGATCATTTGGGATGAGGCGCCAATGATGCATAAATACTGCTTTGAAGCTCTTGATCAAACTCTTACAGATATTCTAAGATTTAAAGATCCATCAAATTTAGATAGACCATTTGGAGGTAAAACAATTATTCTTGGAGGTGACTTTAGACAAATCTTGCCTGTAATTACAAAATGTACTAGGCAAGAGATTGTTAAAGCAACTCTATATTCTTCATATTTGTGGCCCCACTATCAGGTTTTAAAGCTAATCAAAAATATGAGATTGAAAGGAAATATATTTGGTGCTGATTTGGATGATTTAAAACAGTTTTCTGATTGGATTTTGGCAATAGGTGATGGAAATATTGGATGTTCCATTGATGGCATTAAGAAAGTAGAAATACCCGGTGATCTTCTCATACATAATTGTGATGATCCAATATCTGGAATTGTAGAAAGTACATATTCTGATTTCTTGAGACATTTCACAGATATAAAATACCTTCAAGAAAGAGCAGTTCTTGCGCCAACTCTTCAGATGGTGGAATCGGTGAATGATTACATGGTTTCTCTCAACAATAGTCTGGATAAGTCATATTTAAGTTCTGATACAATTTGCATGTCTGATCATGCATTTACATCTTTGGAACATGTACATACACCTGAATTCCTAAATAGTATTTAATGTTCAGGTATTCCAAATCACTCTATCAGTTTGAAGGTAGGTGTTCCTGTGATGTTGTTAAGAAATATAGATCAATCATCAGGATTGTGCAATGGTACAAGATTGATCATCACAGGGCTTGGAAATCGGGTACTTGAAGCCAAAGTATTATCAGGAGAAATGGCTGGAGACAAAGTTTTTATACCAAGAATGACACTCCATCTGATGCAAGAATTCCTTTTAAGTTCCAAAGAAGGTAATTTCCAGTCATTGTATCGTTTGCCATGACCATCGATAAAAGCCAAGGTCAGTCATTATCTAATGTGGGATTATTTTTGAAGAAGCCTGTGTTTACTCATGGACAACTATACGTGGCACTTTCAAGAGTAACAAGCAGAAAAGGGTTGAAGATCATATGTTATGATGGAGATGGGAAAATAACTAATGAAGCTACAAATGTAGTGTATAAGGAAGTTTTCCGAAATTTAGAGAATAGAAGTTTTTAATAAGTATGAATGAGCAGCCCGTCAATGTACATACTCAGTATATAGTTGGTCATACTACGGACAAACAAAAAATTGGATGAGGTAAACATTCTTCTAAATTTAATTTACTTTGATATATCCTGTTATAACTTAATTGTTTTTTAATCACAGGGAAATACTTTTATTTATTAAATTTTACATCTATATTTGCAGTTAATCACTTCAGTTAAATTGTGGATTTGCACGAATATGAATTTTCCAGGCGACTCAGAACAATGGATCGCCTTCAACAGGTAATGAAGTGCTAACCTGAGAATAGTAATTGATGGAGTGCTGTTACAATTGAAAATCACTTTGACAGTAGACGTTGGAGTAGAACACATTTCCGTGCATTTTTTATACAGAATTCTTTCTGCTTGCTAAAGGTCTGAAACCATAGAACGGAGTGCTTCTGCTGAAATTTTTAATTCTTGGAATGGAATGTTTCTGCTGAAAAATGGAGGTGGACAAAGTGCATATTATATTTCTGTTTGTGTGTGTTGCGTGTCTTAAAAAGATTCATTTGTTGGACTAACATATTTCCTGGCGAATGCACATATAAAAGGAGGGAGGTAGAAGCACATTTAGAAGAGAGCTGACAGTGGTCGTGAGCCCCTGACTAAGAAAATATGCAATTTCTATGTTACATTGTTTAGTGAAGTACTCATAAACAGTTATCTCTATGGTCTCTTCTCCATTATCTAGGCCATCACCATTTTTGACTTTCATAGAGAATCTATGTAAACAAAAGTAGATGGTTACATATCTCTGAGTAGTTAGTAATATATATTATGGGACTTAGGTGATTCAAAGAGTTTCGTTAGGCGATTTGGGACTTAGGAGTGTGTTCTGAGTGTTATTCGGAGAACCGTAGTAGAATTAAGCTTGAAATTGCGAAATCGCATATACCACGGCTACTCAGTTTTTAGCTTTCACGCTAGGTTGGTGTCTGCATTTATTCATTAGATTCTTATATATATAAATTTGTATGATTGAATAAGTGTATGGGGCAGAGAGGATATGGATATAGTAGTAGTTTGGAAATGTACAACTAGGTATTCTGTACAACTAGGTATTCTTTTTTCCCGTTTTGGCACATTACTCTCCTGGGATTACTTGAAGGGAAGCATTTTTTGGGATTACTTGAAGGGAAGCATTTTTTGGGATTACTTGATTGCAAGGCATTTTTATTTAAAATTGATCTGCTCTTTAGACTTTTCACCAGTGGTTTAGTTTGTCAAATATTTTGAAAGTTCATGGGTTAGAGCTACAGTAGTCCAATTGAGATAAATCTTAATACAGCCGATCTGTAATTCAGTATTCTACTTAAAAAAACTGGAGAATGGATTCCCTCCTGGAGACTGTTGTAATTAAATACAAATAAAGTCAAAATTTTAACTCCCCATTGAGGTTTTTTTATGCGGTTTGTCCACTTTTAGCCTCCAGCTACATCTCAACACTCGACCTACAAATTTTAACGGAGACATCAAATTTGTTTGGTTGGAACAATTTTTGTGATGTAAATGATATAATTCAATTTTTGTATTTTGTGGGCTCTAACTTAATCTAAGAGCCAGGGATGCCCTTTAATGAAATCTTTATTTTATAAAGAAAAATACAAATTTTAACGGAGACTGGATCCGGATCATATGTCTAAAAAAGCCATCTGATATGTTGAGTCTGATAGTTGCGGTTGTCGTTTACTAGACCGGTCAAAAAAATTAGGTCTCCGCATTTATCTTGCCTCAAACAAGCAGAGAGTGGTCAAGTTATAAAACAATACGATCTAATTAAGACTGTTATCGTTAGGTGATAAATGTATTTTTTTTTTAAAAAGCTGCAGCTAAAACAAATATCTTTGTTGTATAAATTCAATGGAGATGTTTCTAATTTAGATAATTTTCCTTAATTGGACTTTCAACAGCAATAGTAGTTAGAATGGATGTAATAAATGTTGTCATCTTTTTATACAACTATGTATGTGTGGTTGAGGGTTGATTCACATGCAACAATAAAGACAACGTATTTTTCGTAAATCTTCTAACATTTCACATTCTTTTGTTTCACTAAGAGTACCAAATGTTGTGCTTATTATTTCATCTAATAGTCTGTACATACATTTATTTCTACAGGTCATAAAAAATAACCTTAAGTATGGAACAGAGAACTTTGCCTCAGCCGTAAAGGAACATGTAGCTTCTGATGAAGGTGTTTTTTATTGCAACAACATCAATGGTATGTTTGTAAGTGACATAAAATCTTGATGAGAATTAATATTTTTAATGTAAGCATTTTATCTAACACTTAAAACTGTTATATAAATTATGCTAACAAGGATTGGGTGTTTCCAAGATCTTAATTATCCATGTGAGTCGTCGTTTGTATCTTCAACAAACGCGACTAACTTGCTCATATTCTCATATACTTCTTATCCAAAATAAGCCACAACAAAAGGTGATTTCTTAATTACTGTGGATTACACATATATGTATAACTGTTCTTTGTTTTTTTCTAATTATAAGTTCAGACAAATTTTTGCTTCTTTAGGTGGTCTAATCCATTTTAAAGACATATTTTTACTATATTATTTTTTTCTTTGAAATAATCCGCGCATCACGCGGGTACGTATACTAGTTAGAATTACTACAACAACAACAACAACAATGATTATTATGCCTCAGTCTCAATCAAGATCCTAACTATAGCAGATTAATTAAAAGGACTGGGCAAATATATTTAACAAAAGGAAAAGTCCCTCCTTACCTACAAATAGATGTTATGAATCAAACCAAACTATAGCCTATTTGATGTTATGAATCAAACCAAACTATAGCCTATTTGAAGCTAAATATTATTGCAAACATTTGTTACACACGAGATGATTTGGAAGAGAAGTTTCTTATAAGAACTTGCTCAACATGCCAGAAGTTGAATCTTGATCGTGTTTAACCTCGCTACAACATCTTTCATGTCAATCCTTTCTTTAGGAGATTCAACACAACAATCTATTGCCACTTTCATGATGGAAACTACACAATCTAACTTTTTCATTAAGTGATTATCCTGTGGCTTCATTAAGTTGGCATCGATGACTTCTCTTACTCACCCATTGCTTCAAGCTAAGATCTCCATCAAACATTTCATCATTAGGTTTTGTCCTTGTAAATATTTCCATCAACATGGTTCCGTAACTATAAACATCGCATTTCGTTGACACCAATCCCTCCCGTCCATACTCTACAATCACTCAAATTTTAAATTCAGCATTTACTGGTGGAATAAAGAAAAAGAAATATTCAAAAGCAATTAATTAAGAGATTACTTACCTGGTGCAATATAACCCAATGTAGCTAAAGTTTTAGTATATGAAACACTCTCATCTTCAGAAAGCAGTTTTGAAATGCCAAAGTAACTTAGGTGGGCAACCATGTCCTCGTCCAACAAGACGTTACTAGGCTTCAAATCACAGTGAATCACGGCAATGAGCAGCCATGGTGGAGATATTCCAATGCACATCCCACATCTATCATTATACTTAGTGATAATAGGTGAATTAGACTATAATTAGACCCTAAAGAACCACATTTTTGTATAGCTTTGTTGGAAAAAGTGATAACCAAATGCTGTGATTAGTGCTTTTCATGTTTTGTAGGCTATATCCAACGAAAGAAGTCGATGGAGCAAGTTTGGGATCAATTACGGAGAAAAGGAGGCCAATCAAACAATGCCCAAGAAATGCACCAAGTGAAAAGTCAAAGAAGTGCTGAAATTGGCCTGCCGCGGTTAGACCGTAACCGCGGTAGGACCGCGGCAGAGTAGAGTTGCAGATTCAGAGAACCCATTTGGCCGCGGTCCCGGCGTAACCGCGGTGGGACTGCGGCAGAACGCGAAATAGCCAGGGACAAAAGTGTCAAGTCGGGAAAACTTGGTGTAAAACCCTTATAAAAAGTAGGATTTCGGCCTCATTAGGTCAGATTTTGTTTGGAGAGTACTTTGGGCAAGAAACACAAGTGTGAGAGATTACCCAAAACATCATAGTTCTTTATTTTCTTCTTTTTTTTCTTGCAATTTTACATGACGAATATTTTCGTAGTTTCTCTTCAAGTTGTTATGAGTAGCTAAATACTTTAGTCTAAGGTTTTGATGGAACCTATTGAAGGAAGAATTTCTTGATTATGTTCATATAGTTTGCCGGTTAATCTCTATTTGTTCAATTACGTGTTTATTGTAGTTAATTGACATGATCCTTAATTAGCTGTGCCTATTTAGTGTGCATAACTCGGGAGAGAGTGCATATTTAGGTAATTGTTGAACAACACCACTCCCAAAGTATAAGAGGGATTTATAACTACGGGTTTAAAGGCGAGATTAGGGATAACGAAGCCTTGGGTGTGATCTAAAGTGAGCTATAATAAACAAAGTCAGCTAGCGTAACTCGGGAGAGTGCGTCTAGTAAATTATCGCGATTACTCGGGAGAGATTTACGGTAAAAAGAGT